AAAACCACAAGCTGGTTCCCTGACAAGACCAAGACTTAGTAATATCTTGTGTACAACTTATAATCCATGAATTTAAAAAGCTACATTAAATGAACAATTTTTAAGAAAATACAAATGATAAAAATTGATCTAAGGAGATACAAAAGAACCTAATAAGCAATAATCAAATCATAAGTTGAAATGATAAGCAAAGATGATAAAGATTAAGTCCCCAGTTGGGAACCGGTTTCAAAAGGTTTTAACAGGAAAATTCTACTAACCCTTCAAAGAACAGGTAATTCTGTTTACACAAAATATTCCCGTGCATTTATTTTGGGGTGGAGAATGAGACAGGGGAACAGAAATTCCCCAGTCTTAGGTTAGTGGGACAAGTATAGCACCCAGGTTAACTTCACCAATAAACATAGATGCAGAAATTATAAAATCTTAGTAGAGTGTAAAAAAGGAATTTATTTTTAAATATATATATATATAACTCAGCATAACATGTCCCAGGAATATAAAGATGTTTCAACAAGCTACTTCTATGACATGAGCAATTATCTGTACTAATTTGTACAGATATTAATAGTTTATTCAAGCTCTATGGAAGCAGACTAAAACAAGAACATGGCATGATACAACCTCTCCTCCCCTGTGCTGCTATCTCTCTCTTCCTCTTCACCTTATCACAACCTGAATCAGAACGTATAGTTCATCTACAATTTCTTAGCTTAAAGGAACATTAGCTGTCACCTAGTATTCTAGTGTATCCAGTAACTGTACTTCCTTTTCAGTGTGAAGATAAGGAAAGCAAGACCCAGGCTAACTGCAGCAGCTGGCTATACCCATTCTACATCACACCAGCACCTTTCTCCTCAGCATAATATCTGTCCTATACCACACATTACAACTGAAGGAACCAAACTGAGACTTAAACAGGATGGTTACATAATTTGTTTTATAATAAATAAACACTCATAAGGAATATATATTCTTATCATATAAGAACAAATTTAAAATAATAAAAACAAAATAGTAAAACAGCATTTTTAAAACCAATTGTATATCTTCTTCAAATATAAACTCATTCATCCATTCATCTCATTCATCTATTATTCATTAAACAAATATTCATTGAGTAGTTTTTAATGTGTCAACCACTGTTCTAGATGTTGAGGGGAAGAAAATAAATAATAAAATATTTAGCATGCCGAATGGTGTTAAGCGGCATGGAGGGAAATAAACGAGAGGGAGATGAGGAAAGCCGGTGACTAGAGTTGCAATCTTATGTAAGGAAGGTGCAGTCTGGGAAGACAGCACTGGAGCAAGTACTTTTAAAAGAGGAGGCAGCAAGGTGTGTGGCTCTCCTAAAGGAGCATTTTAAGTAGAGGAAACAAAAAGTACCAAGGCCCTGAGAAGGGGGTACACATACTGGCAGAAAACAAAGAGGCCACTGTGGCTGGATCACCCGGTCCGAGGGGAAGAGAAGAAAGATGAGGTCGGAAAAGTAAGGGTACATTCTGTAAATCCTTGTAGAAAAGTTTAAGAAATCTGACTTTTACTCCGAATAAGATGAACACTAACTGGAGAGTTTTTAAAAAGTGACATGATTGGACTTACATTGAAAAGAATCATTCTTGCTGCTGGGTCAACTATAGAAGTCTATTGAAATAATCCTCCCAAAAGACAATGCTTTAGTGTAAGGTGATAGCAGAGAAGCAGGTGGGCATGGCTAGATCCTGGATTTATTTTAAAGATGGAGCCAAAAAACCTGCTGATGGACTGGATGTGAAGACTGACAGAAAGAGAGATGTCCAAGATGCTCCATGGTCCTTGGCTGGCCTCAGGAACTGAAAGGATAGAATTGCTATTTACCAAGATGGGAAGTCAGCAGAAAGAGCAGGTCTGAAAGACTGTTCTGGGCATGCTGCAATGATTGTGCTGTTATTAGGCATCCAAGTGAAGATGCAGGGAAGTCAGCTGGATATACAAGGCTGGAATTCAAAGGAGAGATCATAAAAATGTCCTTTGTACATTATATATCATTATATGGTAATGACAGTACTGACCCAGTTATAGTACTGACTTACGTCTAAATTGTTTTTTAAGCAACTGGGTCTTTCAGACTAAACAAAATTGATCATTGGAATTTCTAACTTATAGGATTAAAAATAATATTTCATTCCAGAACTAAAAGCCCAAAAGTTAAAGATTATTTTGTCCAGATGTTTAAAATGTAGAAGACGTTAACATCTCTGTCATACTAGGATATGATGGCCAATGGCAATTACAAACTTTCAGATCTGAAGAGAAGGAAGAGCTGTAAACACAAAGACAATAAATCTGTAAATTGAAGAGAAATTTCTAAGATCAGAGTAAAAAAGAGAAGGTATGTCACTGCAGAATGTTCCAGAATTGGTACATATGAAAAGCAACAACCAAGTTGGCCGAGTGACAGTATGAACAACCTACTGATTTATACTAGAGCTGTCCAGCGTACAACTGATGATCTATTATTGATACATTTTACTAAGTTGTCTTACCTGTTTTCTCTTCAGAACATATTCCAACCTTATATTGAAAATAAAGGATTCATTTTCCATAAACATGTTTAGAATCAAATGTGCTAATATTTACCTGTATAAAAAGCGAGATGTTTATAAAATGATAAAGAATAAGAACTGAGACATATGAATTTTAACTGCTTGTAGCAGATAGAACACAGGATTGTTTAGAGGTTAATATTATTGTTTTTGTTTTTCTTTAAATGGCATTCAATCGGTCCATCAAAATGTAAAACCTTATACTAGCCAAAGAGAGAACAGCAACCGAAGATTAAAAAAAAATAAGCATGTAAGTGAAGTCAGGATACTATTACAGTTCTTTTGCTACACAACTTAGTTAATGAAAACTAATGTTTTCCTCCTGATGGTATCTGACAGGGCTGAATTCATCCAAAAGCAGAAGGCAAGCAAAACTGGTAGGCGTGGTATGTAGAGGCCAGTCTCCAAAGACACAGAACAGAGGCAGGACAAAACTTGGCAGGAAAAGTGCGCCAAATAGAGCACAGTCAACAGAGAAAGATGATTCTGGTGTGGACCAGCAAGGTGCAGCTGGGCTGGTTTCCTCTGAACCACCCCTATCTTCCATACTCCAGAGGCCTCGTGGTCAATCAACACAATCCTCAAACATCTCACTCATACACCTCATATATGCAGGGTCACACACTGACTTAGTATCATATCTTTTTTCCCTCTTCTGCCTGAGTAATGGAATTTTACAGGGTTGAAGTAAGTGCAATCAAGAAAGTGAAACATGGTATGACCCTCTAAAATGAAGATTACAGGTCTGTTCATTGGTAGAAAGTCTCCCTAATATGTTCTCCCCATAAAAATGAGACACAGTCCTCCAATTAAGAGAACTGGACTCTAATAACAGGCATTTAACAAAATCTCAAGAGAGCCAAACGCAGCTGAGTAACAACTGTCTATTCCCTACCCACATCCTCAATGCAGCCATTATAAACTCTTTAAATATAAAATAATAAAAGTTTAGAACTATGATACTATTTAGCACAACCTCATTCACCTCATAAAGGAAATAAAACCAAAGAGGCTAAGCTACTTGCCCAAGGTCATAAACTTCCTAAGAAGCAAAAAGAAAATTAGAATCTATGTTTGTGAACTAAGGCCAGTGCTTTTTCTATTTCATTATACAATGCTTACCAATAATAGCTCTGTTTTTATTTTAAACCAGATGCTTTAGAGATTTCCTAACCTTTCATATAATGTTAACATTTAAATATTCTTTGGTTTTAGATCTCTAGCGTCCTATTTCTTTTCACTTTGCTAAAACTCCTTACAATGTTTACCGCCTCCAAAAGAGCTCATTCAATCTTGTAAAGATAAAAAAAAAAAAAAGCAAAATAAATTAAGTAGAAAATAGTTTAGCTGAATTGCAAGCTGAGTAAACTAAATCACTCAAACAGATATATCAAATGCTTAAGTCACAAAATGAAAAATGTACTCATTACTGTTTTCTTAATCAGCTCTTCCTGACCTAAGAAATTTATCATGATAACTGCAGTCCCAAGGACATACACACTAATGGAACAAAATATCCTTTGTTTGATGTCACAGCATTATAAATCTCTAGTGCTATTTTAAACTGTCAATTTATTTGAAATAGAAATGTCCTTCACTTTCATAAATCCTATAGATCAAATTCATCTCACTTGTTTATGAAATAAAATTACAAAAAGTAGCACACTGTGACACAATCAATCACGTCTCATGAGTCGTCTTCTGGACAGACGGTAGTCACGGCAAGGACAGGAAACGGACTACCTCTCCATGTTGTGTGTAGAAATCAAGACTTTTTTTTCTATTAGCCTATTTTGAAAAGACAATGTAAAGAGTGGTTTCTGTTCCCCTGGGAAAATATAATTTTTTAAATAACCACAATCTGGCTATTTTTTAAGTTTTTAATAGTTTTTTCACATTAATACAGATACAATGTACAAAGGACATTAAGCTGCCAATGATATAATAAGAGCAAAGTATGTAGCTTGATGTCAAGTTAGATTCAATAATTTGTAGGTAAATGCAAAAGCAGTAACAGTAAAAACATTTCTGAAAAAGAATAAAGTGAGAACACTTTAATCTACCAAGTATCAAAGTGTACAACAATTAATTAAGACAAGGTTACATAAGGTCAGAATAGAAAGTCACTACACAAAGCCATGGACATATGGACATGATATAGGAAAACAGAGGGGGACAGGACTGATTTTCCTTAACTGATACATGTTAGCGTGATGGTTACTTTTATATGTCAACGTGACATCAAGTATTTGTCAACAGAAGAGAAGAAAGATTTTACCTCAACCAATAAGACATCAATTTTAAAAAAACTACTTCAAAGTGTCATCTATTAGATGCAGATATACAGATAAGCATATAGACATAAAGGTAGATATGTAAATCTTAAATCAGGATGTAAGAAATATTTCAATATACCTGTATGCTGCCGAACTCAACATTCTCATAATGGAAATGCGCACATTCAGCCATCTTCGGAAAGTGACCTTTAGTGAAGGGTAACCTGAAACACATGAAATAAATAAAAAACAAGATAGTGAAATAGTAAAAATTACTAAGTTTAAGGGGAAAATACAATGGATTTAAGAGCTCATGCAAGCAAAAATATTTAGTAAGCACATGCGCATGAGCCACACATATCCACACAAATCCTCTTAAAAATACACTGAATCAGATAAGTATTATATTTAGTGTACAGAACAAAACCAAAAATAAAAAAAGCATCACCGTATCTCCTAATGTTGACCCAAATCAATGTCCATAGAAAAACTGTTATTTTCAGCAAATGTTATGGAAACTGTGAACAGCCAGCTTCTGACCAGAGCAGCATGCCCAACACAAAGTACGAAACCAGGTTTTACCTGTGAATGTTGTCACAGCCCATCAGTCCTGGAGTGGTGGACCTGGACGCAGAATGAACATGTTTATCCTTGTCTTTCCTCTGCTTACACATGAAGCATGGCTATCTAACTCTACCAAGTGAAAAGATGGTTTTCCTGTTTAAAACTGATTAGCTTCAGGCACAGGATGAATAGCCCTTATTCGAAATGACACAGAGACCAGAAGAATTTTGGATTTCAGATTTTTTCAGATTTTGGAATATTTGCTTATATCTATGGGATATCTTGGGGCTGGGACCCAAGTCTACACAAAAAATTCATTTATATTTCATATACATTTTATACACAGCCTGAAGGTAATGTTATACAATATTTTAAATAATTTTGTGCATAAAACAAAATTTTAACTGCGAACACTCACGTAAGGTCAGGTGTGAAATTTTCCATTTGTGCTACCATGTTGGCACTCAAAAAGTGTCACATTTTGGAGCACTCTGGATTTCATGGCTTCAGATTAGGGCTGCTCAACCTGTATTTCACTTAATAGTCAACTCTTGGCATCTACTTCATGCTCCTCAAAGGCAAACCTGAAATCTAATAATCTCATAACTCAGACAATAAAGCTGATATTTCTGAATGAATGAGAGCATGCACTAAGTGTACCAAGAATGACATGGTTAGATTGTACCTATCAAACAACTGTAACATAACAGAAAATGACATAAGTTGCTTCAAGAACAAAAATAAAGTATATTTTAGATGAGTGGATAATCTGTAGGCCTATTCCACTGCTGAGTCATAATTTAAGGATTAACAATTGCACAGTAACAGCATATTTTTGTAAAAAGTCTAACTAAAAGTTTTAAGAGAACTAAAGAACTGATTTCCATTCATAGGAATTCATTTAGAACCCACTGTAAAGTTATACTCACTTTTTCACATGCTTAACCTTCATACTGGCTGTACTGCCACACGTCTTAAGAGTAAGATCTCCAGGAATCTCAGGAACATCTGCGCCTCTTGCCTTAAAAAATAAAGACAAAATATTTATGACTATTCCTTTAGTATTATACTTTTTTAAAAAGCAGGTTATGATTTATGTTACTAGTTCTTCTGACTTTTTACCTACAAAATATATCTTGGTTTAATAATCTTAAAATTATGACTTACTTGAGTTTTAATTATTAAGAATATAAATTATTCACCTGATTTAAATATTCAGCTTTACTGTATAAGGGAAATTTTTCTGTGAGAATAAGAATCTTCATGCTTTTGTAATCAGATTTCAAAACCAGCTATTATATATCTCAATATGAATTAAAAATTCCCCTGGAAGTTGTTGGAATAAAATAACCTTGGTTAAAATAATAAACATTAAAATGTTAATATAAACATAGAAATTAAGAGATTAAAACATGTATTTCTCACACCAAAATCTGAACATGACATGTATATAAATACTTTCAAATTACTCCTTAGTCTATCATAGTTTTCACAGTGGTGAATTCTTTACTTCAGTGACACAATCAGGTATATCATTTTAAAAAAAAACAAAATGAAAAATCAAAAAGTTCTTAACACTCTGGACAAAATAAAAGTCAATTCCAAATATCTATCTTAAAAATAAATTTTGTGCTATAATACATATGATTTATAATTTAAAAAAACTTAGGCTGAATTACGATAGCCCATGCCACATGACTCAATAGGCGAGAATAATGTGGGATAAGCAGTTAAAGTAAGTTGGGCGGAGAATCACAACCTTAACTTCTGTAATGTTTTCTTGCGAGGAAAAAAAAAAAAAAGCCAGACAGTTTAGATACGTGTTTGTTTTTTTTTAAAATAGGACTTTTCAAAGATATGAAGTAACAATGTATGAATTCATGAGAATGAAACCTTGTTATGTCATCACAACGTGCTGGGTTCATTTTTTCTTTTTGAGGGTTTTTTGTTTTTTAGCAAATTTAACTATTTATAAGGGTTGATATTTCATGATCAAGCCTTCTTAGATGTATTTTTATTCCTTCTTATAGGTCTCCCAAAGAAAATAGACTATTATTATATTCTTTAGTAATGAAACAGAACTCATTCCATCTTGCACAGCTATCATATGGATTCAATGAAACTTTTTATAAATATAAGATAATATCTTGTCTTATCTTTCCTCTATCTTGAAACAAAGTTACTTCGTAATCCTAGGTATTATTTCATCAGTACTCATCAGCATCCAAGTATACCCTATCACACTAGAAAAAAAAATTTAAGACTAAAATAAAAAGTATATTTTTAAATAGGGAAAATGAGATAATATCCTAGAAAAAGAGTTGACAAACTTTTTCTTAAAGAGCCAGCCGGTAAATACTTTAGGTTTGTGGGCCGCATTATCTTTGCCACTATTCAATTCTGCTATTGTAGTGTAAAAGTAGCCACTTGTAAATGACCAAACACAGCCATGTTCCAAAAAAACTTGATTTGCAAAAACAGGCACCCAACAAGGTAAAGTTCGCAAAGCCCTGCCCTACAAAGTTGGTGCTGTGGTGAAATAAATTATCATCCAGTTTTTATACTGTGTTGCCCAAATCGCCTCATCTTTCAAGAAGGTATTTAAAAAGCTTGGAGACACCATCTTTCTAGTCCATTTCACTTTCATTTAACATATTCACTAATTCAATAGTTTTCGTTTTCTTTCACTTATAGAAAAGAGAAAAACACTGACAAAGAAAGATATCTTATAATGAATAGATACATGAAAAGGTGGGTAAAAAGAGACAACAGCACTCTAGACTCTAATAAAGATGGCAAAACAATCTCGTACATGATACACCAGACTAATTATAATATCCTAGATGAATACAGTATTGAGCATTAAGAACTGAGTGAACAAGATATTTCTAAGGACAAAAAAGGAAATACAGTATTCTCCAATTGGTCATTCAACTGAAAGTACTTTTTCATGCAATATTCTGCGACAACCTGGATCATCTGGTTTTGCCATTAAAAAAAAAAGTGAAAGTGTGACAATACTCTTTCATCTTTTATGATGTTTGTGCACCAAAATTTACTTGACATAACAGGTTTGCCAAGCTTAAATTCTTATTAACATTTCTGATAAGGTGGCTTTTCACTATTCTGCATTGTTCATAAATTGACTTAAAAATATAAAAGAATAAAAAAGAATCCACTAGACTGAGTTAATAAATGGAGATGATATAATTGGTAGACTTGGAAATTGAAACGTTAGCTTTCTTTTGAAAACAAGCTCTATGTGCTAGCTAGGGAGGCCACTGTTCCTAAATACATCTAAAGAGAAAACAAGAAAACCTGCCCAGCCTATAATCCGCATGAGGGAGGAACATCATGTACCACACACCTCTGCAACCACAACTGACTGGGCTGTAGATGGAAACATGACCCAAAGGTAAATCCACAGGTTACGCAAAAGGGTCTGACAGGAAAATCTCTGCCTAAAAAGACAAAATGATAATAATTAGGCCAGTGAACCAAACAAGGGTCCAAAAAGCTTCAGAGGATTCACAAAAATACGTCTGAATCAATAGTTCAACTAGCCTGTGACCATGTATGTTCTGTCCAGCAATATTTTCCTATAGCACAGAAAAGTTCCAGGAATATCCTAGGCTCTCAGTATATTTTTGTGAAAGAACAAATACAATACACTTTAACATAACAAGGTTTTATCATTTACTCTTTCAAGATGAAGCCAGTAGAATTGAAAGGAAAATTCTGTACTATTATTCAATCACCTGATGAACTAATATTTTCATCTACATATTTTAAAAATAAAATAAATTATCTTAAATTTCTGAGAGCACATACTTGAGTTATTTATTCTGTTGCTCCAAACCAAAGATTAAGGAAGTTCTTTTTTAGAAAATAGTTCATTAACTGATATTCATTCATAAAAATAATTTTTCCTATTTTTTCATGTTATAATTATCACTTAATTATGCTTCCAAAATAGAGTTTATAATATCATCAACACAGTAACAGCACCATTCATCAACAGAACATTCAAAAGACCTCAAAAGACAACTGAACTTATATTCAGAAAAGCACACACCATTTACATTTAAACGCTCTATGTGTCTATCTCTAGCAATTAACTGGCATCCTAGAAAATTAGACCAAAAGATTAAGGAAATTAATGGATTCAATAACAATTTTTATCTCCTCACTCTTCCCTACTTGTTTACACTATATAATTCAGTAGGTTCATTATCCCTGCCTATACAACCTTATCCTCAAAATCCAATTCAAATCCACCTAGTCCATTTAATCCTATACCGATAATTTTGCCAAACGTTCATACTTTCCTTCATTAACCTTTCAAAGGATTTATCCTGTATACAGTATATTGGAGCATTTCATTATATTTTTATTCATCTTTTAATGCAAACTGCCATGTAGTGTTCTCTAATAAAAGACTTTTCCATTCATCAAGAGGGTAAATTTCTTGAGCATGAAGCCAATGGAATAACATGCGTACATATTTTACTAACATGTGACATCCACAATCCCCATTACAACACTAAAATTTAGCATCCTTCAAGGAAAACAGTCAAAGAAACTGAGCATTGTTAACTACCCTAGAAAAGCACATAATGACTTTATCTCTGATTTTTAATTCCCCTAGATGACATTATTATCTATGAAAGTCTATAGTTAACAAAGAGTCATTTTAATAGCTCTAATTTTATGATTAAAAATATTTTGCCCTTACTGTTTGAAGAACACTGCTAAATGATCTTCCAGAGGGCCTGATCTAATTCACACTGCTACCAAGCATGCGTAAGAGTGCCTACTTTCTGACCACCTCACAAACATCAAATACTATTGAATCTTTTTACTTTTTTCATTCTGATAGGTACTTCTTTGTTCATTTGTTTTACAATTAACAAGATAAAAGAATTGAACATAATTTCACATTTTGGTGGGTATGTAGTTATTATTGTGTGTAACACTGTTTTCATCTTATATTCTCTATCTTCAATATTTTTTAATTAAGTTAAAGCTAGTCATATTTGTATGACATAATATGCCAAGATATTTAATAGCTTTCCATTAAAATTATAAACCTCGAAGTTAGAGGCCTTACTTAGACCTTCTAATTTCAAGACTTATTAAAAAGCAATACTCAGTAAGACAAAGTGCCACTAGAGTCAAGGATAAACAAATGAATGAAATATAATGCAGTCCAAAAAAGGCCCACACGTATACAATAGAAGTTTATTTATGGCAAAGGAGCCAATGCAATTCAAAACAACAGCACTGTCAATAAATGGGAACAGCACAGTTTTTAAAAGTATGCAAAAATTAAGAATAAAACTTCAATCTTCTCTTAATATACAAAAATTAATTCAGGATGGAAATTCATTCAATATGAAAAATAATAAATCTTCTAAAAATAAACACAGAATAATAAATCTGAGCTAAGTAACAAGAAGCAAAAAAAAAAAAAAAAACTACTCCTAAGAGAAAAAAATTAATACATTCAATGGCATCAAAATTACAAACAAGGAACTTACACTCAACATATATAAAGAACTCCTTGTAACAAAATAACTAATAATCCAATTTTTAAACTGGGGGAAAAAAAACCTCAACAGGTATTTCACAAAACAGAATACTTATAGTTAATAATCAAGCTACTTGGTGTCATTATTCATCAAGAAAATGCAAAATAAAACCACAATGAAGTAACAGTGCACATCTGCCAAAAAGCCCAAATTAAAAATAAAATAGAATACCAGTGTTAGCAAAGATGCATTGCTGGTTAGAGTATACAACAGCATAACCATTTGGGAAATTGTTTGATAATTAATTGGTAATTCCTACTAACCATACTCCATGATCCTATGACTACACTCCCAAATGTGTATCCCCCTAAATTATTTCACATGTACAACAAAAACTTGCACATAAATATTAACAGAAGCTTATTCATAACCACTAAAAATAGAAACATTACAAATACACAGAGTAGAATCAGTGAATAAATTATGGCAT